ATCCTTCATCATTTTTCTTCTTCTTAATCTTTTTCTTTTTTTCTGGAAGAAGTTTCTTCATCTTTTTTGGATTGCTTCTAAAATTATTCAATTTTTTCAAAAATCTTTTCTAAGAAAACAGTATCTGGATTAGGATCTTGTGATTCTTGAAGAAATAAACAGTCTTCGCTATCTTGGACTATCATTTTTTCTTTTCCCTTACAGGACTGAATTTCTTGGGCTTGTGAAAATTCTGGATTATTTGAAAAATGTTCTGGAGAAAAATGATCTGGTGGACTGTATTTGACTAGGTAATCAAATTTTCCACTGGGCTGTCCTAAAAGATCCCAAATTTCTTTACCCTTTTCTGTAGCAGATTTATTAGTCTGTTGAGTCTGATTATCTAATTTAGTAGAGGAATCAACAGTCCCTTAAGTCCATTGGGCTTTTGGTAAGTCCACAACATTCAACGGATTTGATAAGTTTTTACCAGCTACCGTTTGGGCTGGACTAGCTATGAACTTCTTGGGCTCCATAGTACCTGTTGGATAATGGACTTTTAGGTCCAAAATCTCTTTTTCAAGTTGAGCCACTTTCTTTTGGAGTTGGATTCTTTCTATTGAAAGGTTCTGGTTGACTTCATTGATAACTTTGTAATTTCTCTGCATACACTCACAATGTTGGCATAAAATATTCTGGTCTTTACTTGGAGAGAAGTCTAATGGAGGGTCTGAGTAATTCTTTAAAGAAGGAGATAAATAAAAATTTATTCCTATCTATTGTCTTGCTACATCTAATGCTTCTTGAAAATTTGTAAAACCTTTGTAAAGAGGATCTGGAAAATCTTTAATACAATCTAAAACTTCTATCCAAGAATGGAAAATTCCTGGATTTTTACCTTTGATAACAACATAGAATTTAAATCTTTGCTTGTTATGGTTAAAATGTTCTGATAATACATTCATGCATGCAAGAAAATATTTTTGGTCTTTTGAATTCTTATTATAGGAAATCCATAAATTGTCTAAAATACATTTCTCTTCTCTAAATAAAGAAATATGCGGTAAAATTTTAAAAGAAATATTACTATTGGGAAAAACTATAAGTTCTTGGTTTCCAAACCTTAATCTGTCTTGTAACATTGGTCCGTTCTGATTAAATGGAGTCTGTGGTAAAGATCTTGATGCAAATGAGTTCCCAGGTGGAATTCCTGGTCTTATAAGTTTTGGTCTTGTCATCTGTATAACAAGATTATGTTAAACAAGTTTAATAATTTCTATCTATTATTATTCTATTTAATATATATGCTGCTTTATTATTACTACCTTTAATATGTTCGAATTCTACATTAATTCCTGTATTTGTAATTCTATCTACAAAATTTAACCACCTTCTTCTACTACTTCTTTTTTAGTCTATTTTCATTATATTAACAAAAGAAACTATGGCTACACAGTCTGTTCTTATAGTTATTTCTTTCTTAGATATAATAAACAATTCAAAGCTATCTAATGCATAATTTATAGCTAATAATTCTGCATCTATGCTACTTAAATTTCCTTTTTTCTTTATAGTTTCCACTATTGTACCTACAAATTCTTTCTGTACTTTTATCAGTATATTTATTGGGTTTGCATATTAGTATAGCTCCCCATCCTGTCATACTTCCATCTGTTTCTATGATTAAGTATTCTGAATCTAATGGCATAGCTAATTTTGGTAAAGTTTTTATTTTTTCTTTTATTTGTTGGACTAATTTTATGTCTTCTTAATTAAAAAATCTTTGTCCTGTAGAAGATGTCTTAACACATAAAGGTCCTGCTATTTTTCCCAAATCTTTTATAAATGGTCTAGCGTAATTTACTAATTCTAAAAATTTTAGGATTTGTTTTAAATCTTCAAGTTTGTCTGGAAATTCTAAAGCTTTCTTAGCAATATGGGGTTGTAACTTAATTTTACCTTCTCCTATATTAACTCCTAGAAAATCTATAAATTCTTTAAATAGAATCATTTTCTTTTTACTAATTATTAATCCATGTTTAATAAATTCTGAAAATACTATTTGTAAATATCCTCTATGTTCTTGTTTATTTTTACTAAATACTAAAATATCATCTATGTATACTATTACAAACTTACTATGTTTATTAAAAATACTTTCCATTTTTCTTTGGAAAATACTTAGTGCATTCTTAATTCCAAATGGCATTACTATCCATTCAAAATGTCCTTCTGGGCAGGTAAAAGCTGTCCATTTAATACTTTCTGGATGCATTTTCACTTGCCAAAATCCTGACTTTAAATCAAATTTACTAAAAATTTACAGTCTCGTATTTTATTTATTAACACTGTCTTATCTGGTATGTTATAAGCATAATCTATAGTATTATCATTAAGTCTTTTATAATTAATAACCATTCTACTTTTTCCTCTAACAATTTCTGAATGTTTTCTAATTATAAAGACTGCTGATCTATGAGAACTATCTGATTTTCTAATTACTCATAATTCCAAGAGTTCTTTTATATGTATTTTAAAATCTTCTAAGTCTAAATTTGTTGCTTCTATATTCTTATTTTTAATTATGTATTCTGGATTCTTGATTTTTAATTCACGTAATATTTTATCTTTCTCCCAGTATTTTAAAACATTTTCTCCTATTATTTTCATCTTTTCTAATCTAGAAATTAAATTTTCTATTTCTTGTTCTGTTATTAACATATAATAGATTTTTTCATTATCAATTAGTTCTATAGTTCCAAAATCTAAGTTATCTTCTTCTAAAATTTCAGAATTTATTTCTTCTAAATTATCTTCTTCTATCAATTGACATTTTCTTTCTTTTTCACATTTACAATTATAATTATTACTGCCACTACTTCCACCACGCTTCTCTATGCACTCTGATGGAAAATAAGTAATCTGTGTTGGTGTAAATAATGTATGTTTTTGTAAATGTAAAAAAATTTTAGTAATTGTAACACTTCCATTGTCTTTTAATAAAAAGCTTAATCCTATAATAAAAATCCGTGTCTTTAATATTTAAAGGTCTAACTCAAACTGATTCTTTTGGTAAGGTATATTCAATACTTCTACCACAATTTGTCTCAAAACTAATCTTACTATTTGATTGTAATAGTTCTGTGTAAGTATAAAGTTCTCCATCCATTTGTTGTGCTTCTATTGGTTTATCTGAGTATGTTATATATTGTTCTGGAATTAATTTCTTATTAATGATACAATTACTACATCCTGAGTATATCAAACCTAAACATTTTATTTCATATTGTCCTATTCTTATATAACATTTTACCTTAATACTTTTAAATTTTTCTGGATTACATATTACATGAACATATTATTTTTCTTTATATTCTGTACTTTGACTTTGTTCTTCTATTTCTATTGTTTTTCCCTTATTATTATATTCTAACATTTCTATTTTATTTATTATAAATTTCTGCATTTCTTCTAAACCTTCTATTCTTTTTCTGAGAATTTTTATTTCTGAAATTTCAATTCTTTCTTTTAAAGTTTCTGAATTGATTTCTTCTTTTTCAATAAGATTCTTTTCTTCTAAACATTTTATACATGCTTCTTTATAACATTCTAAGCATTTGACTCTAAATTTTCTTACAGGATACCAATTACATAAATAACAAGCTATATTATCTGCTCCTTTATATTTTTGTCAATTATGTAAACATTCTATAATTACATTATTCATTAAATTTAGTTCTTCTTCTGATTCCGATTCTTCTTGTAGTCTTATATTAGAGAATTCATCTATTATTTCATAATCAGATTCTTTATTTACTTCTAAATTTTTATCTTCTGTTGATATAATACTATAAATAGATTTTTTATCTGAAATATATTTATCTAATTGTATTAAATTTTCATTAGTGCATTCTATTAATGTACTTTTCTTATCATATTTATTTATTCTTTTTGGACAAGTCTTAGATAAATGTTCATTACTATTACAAACATAACAACTAAGTCTATTTAATATAAGTTTTTTCTGGTTTAAATTTCCTAACATGTCTTTTTTCATCCAAGTATGGTTTTCTCTTATTAGATTTTCTAAAAAAGTATCTTTTCTTAAAATGTCTTTTATTCTTTTATTCTTTATTTTTTCTTGAACTAGAGGCTCCATAAGTTTGTGGGGTAAAAATATCTTTGCAAAATTTATAATCTGTCTTTTTAAGTTGCTTTTAAATTTGTAACTCTACACATTTATCTTCTAAACATCTTATTACATGTTTTATATATACATATATATATATATAAAAGAAGAAATATAGATTTAACTATTCAAAATTTGCCAATTTTATGCTTCATATCGAAATTGAAAAACAAGAAAAAACTGAAAAACATGAAAAAAATATAATGATTATTATGATGATACAAGGGGATTAAAGCAAAACTCTTTAACAGATTTTGTGGAAATGAAGAATCGAAACTGGCTAAACAAGGAGAGAGAAAAAAATAAGAAGTTAAAAGGTTATGTAACAATCAAAAGAAACAACAATGAGATAAAAGAAATAGATAATGAAAAATCAGCCTGATAACAAGAAAAAGGAGAAAAACGAAAGTTCAGCTTCAGAACGAATGGGGTGCGGGGTGGGGGGAGGGGATGGAAGTTAAACAACTTTTTTGAAGCTTTGAAAAATAAAAAACTATTTTTTTGGAAAATTTTGCGGAGTTGCACTTGCTTCATGTCACCCTAGTTACAAAGGAGTTGCATGTTCTCCCTCGTCATTCTAACTTTCAGCACAGCAAACCTGTTATCGTGCATTACAAAGGACACAAGAAATAAGCTAATAAATCCAGAATTTCCTCAGGAAACATCACAGTGCAGGGCTACACTTGATCAACCAGAACAACTTCATAATCAAAATTACTAAACTAACAATGATCAACAGTTTGCTACACTTGACAACCAGAACAACTTCATAATCAAAATTACTAAACTAACAATGATCAACAGTTTGATGTTCCTCAATAACATTTGCGGTGAACAATAGAAGGCCCAGTTTCATCGTAATCTGCTTTGGTCACATGTTGATTTTGAGGAAACACTACTTTGGCTATTATTGCACCTCCCACCCATGCAGAAAACTTGCTTAAATTCTCCGGCATATATTCTGGAGGCTGCAATGAACAGACTATTAGAAGAAACCATTTATGTACACCCAAAAATATGCAGCATTGTTTCCAGTGATTAGACACAAAGACAAATAGTAGAACTTGCTTGGACATATTCATCTGGTAAATAAACAAACTTCGAATGATTTATTTTTGTTGTTTCGCTTGGACCATTGTACCTTTTGATTATGGTTAGATACTAGTCTTCCTCCGTTCTCCTTAATCTATCCATCAGATTGCTTTAAGGAAATGAGCATCACCAATATTTTGGATGAGAATCAATATGATCATTTTAAGGCTCATTCTCCAAATCAAATCCAATGGGATCCAAAGCACCGGGATTGATAGGAAGCTCGGTGATATCTCAAAGGCCTTCTCGTTGTCACCACTTACTGTCATCTATGTGGCAATATTTCTAACTTTCACCTGGACTGCATAGCCCCTATAGACAAACTAGACAATAAAGGTTGCCAATTTGAAAAGCATAACAAAGATAATGTCTATCTTAATGCCATTCTTGATATCAAAAAACTCCAAAGAAGTCTTCCTCCTTTTTTGTGTTTGATAGAAATTCAGTTTCTAAACATCAACTAACTCGCATAATTGAACAAATTCAAAATGCTGAAGGGTTCCTTCCAACTGCACCATCTTCATCTTATTATCAAAGGTACATGATATCTTTTGCAGACTAATTGAACAATGATGGTTTGCTGAACCACATTTATGCGGAGGAAGCAGATGGAAATTCATTATATTTAGATAAAGCAAACCAAATAAGAACTGTCCACAAGGGCACAATTATGATTGAGCACAGCAAAATCCTTAATCATAGAGCAAAGCTACAAAGAAAGTGCACATATAAAAGACTAGCTTATTAAGTTACCTTGACAACACAAGGACGAATAGCTGAGGAGCAAAGACTAGCTTCTTTCTGAAATCTATCTTCAAAACCTGCAATATCAAGCAACAAATTATGGTGTCAGCCACTTAGAATAGCACCAATCTTTTGCACAACTAAAAAACACTCATTGCAAAGTCTTTTCATCCCTATAGTTCAACAGTAAAACAGGTATCTCTATCTAATCTTCTAAAATTCGACTGTAGTCCATTTGAGAAAGTTCAAAGACAATTTTTCAAAAGCTGCCACCAATTTAGGAAGGCCAGAGCCTACAATTGAACAAAGGAATAGTTGCGAATGAAATACCTTGTCACCAACAACAGAAGATCCTACTTGTTGCTAAGTATCCAGAGTAACCACCACAATCTATGCTTCAAGAGAGAGCTTACCTTTCCAAGTTATGGAGTTTATAGCTCAAATCAATAACTGATTGTAATATCTAAATACTTCAAAATAATAGTTGAAAACTGGCTGGTTTTATAATTTCAAAGTCCAATCCTGAATACTGGATGAATTGTGATTAGAAAGATTAATTTATTGATGAATAAATTACAGAGAGCTCCGTCAATTGATCATATCATCTAAAAGTGTTAAACAAATGTCCCAATAAAAACTATTAACTGCAAACCTTATGATGAGATAAACATAAGCATATAATATCCAGTGATTAAAAATACAGAAAGGCAGTGGAGTGTGATGGAAGACATAACCGTGACAAATTGTAAGCTTCTGGAAAGAGAATTTATCACTGATTGTAAAAATAAGGCAGCTAAAAATGAACGTAAAACAAAGAAGCCATGATGATGCTATATATTTCATTCAGTTCACATGATTAGATAAAAATTCACCACTCATGGAAGCAGTTCCACCACAAAGTACAGTATTTTCCAGCAGCTGTCGGTGATTCTCGGATGACACATTTGAAATACAATGAACCAGCTGTTCAACGACTCCATGTGCCTGTAGACCCAAAATAGATGGTTGGAATAAGGCCTCCCCAACAGTATATCTTTCTCTTCCAATTTTTATCACCTGAAACAACCAACATAAAGTAGGATTAATTTGTAGTCTTTCCCTTGCTCATAAAAGAACAGGAAAGAGAAAACAAATGAGATGGAAAGAAAATGAAGGCCATCAGTCCCATATCACAATTCGCCATGAAAAACCTGCAAGCATGTCTATGACTCTATGTTTCCAACATGCATTAAAAGGTGATCAAACGTTAATTTACAAATGAATTGATTTTGATGTATAAACCTGTCCATCAGGTAGTGTGTGTTGCTCCTCTGGGCATGACAGCTGGAGTTTCTCATAAGCCTCGTCATCATCAGCACAACATGCATATTGCTCCTTTATTTTCTCAACATCAGATATGCTAAGGTTCACAAGAGGATTGGATTTACCAAGTTCTTGTGCAAGAAGGTTCGTCAAATCCAACCCACCTAGTTCAAATCTTCTTGAAGATATCTGCTGAACCGCACCTTCAATTACAGTTGCAATATCTGAAAGTTTGCAACACCAAATCAAGTTGCAAGAATCGTAATCATAATTATATACAATACAAATATCTGACAGTTTATTTCGTGGCAAGATCAGTAAAGGACAAAAAAAAAGAGAACAGAAAGTCACATTCTTCCGCAGCTCTCCACCACAGCCACCTGCAGCCCTCCCTTTCATCCAATCACCCTGTTCCCCGCTGTCCCCTATCCTCTTCCTCATCCAATCTCTAACCGCCCATTTTCATTTTTGGATGCAATATCACCTTCCAGAATTTAAAGGACTGTTTGAAGGAGGGGGGGGGGGGTGCATTTCCTGGACTATAGGTTGGACTGAAATCTAGGAAGAAAATTCTGGAGTCACCTGGAAGACATCATTGCTAATAGTTACAGGATTTTCAACCACAGTATTGAAGTATGTGTATCATGAGAAGGCATCATGCTATTCTCTGAGATTTGAATTTCTGAGCTGCAGAAATGGCTAGAAAACAGCAAAGTTGGGCCATGCCAGTCCAGTCGTCACACATTTAGATCGTCAGCATGGGGGACACCAGAGCTTTGCTGTCTATAATATATATTGTTCCTAGTCAATTATCAAAATAAAACAAAACTAACAAATAAAAAGCAGCCCACTTGGGAAACAGGCTTCAGAAGCCAGACCCGCACGCCTGTTTTTTTCCCCAAAAAAAAAAAAAAAAACTCCCAAAAAAAAAGGTGTGGGGGGGGGGGGGGGGGGGGGGGGGTGCATTTCCTGGACTATAGGTTGGACTGAAATCTAGGAAGAAAATTCTGGAGTCACCTGGAAGACATCATTGCTAATAGTTACAGGATTTTCAACCACAGTATTGAAGTATGTGTATCATGAGAAGGCATCATGCTATTCTCTGAGATTTGAATTTCTGAGCTGCAGAAATGGCTAGAAAACAGCAAAGTTGGGCCATGCCAGTCCAGTCGTCACACATTTAGATCGTCAGCATGGGGGACACCAGAGCTTTGCTGTCTATAATATATATTGTTCCTAGTCAATTATCAAAATAAAACAAAACTAACAAATAAAAAGCAGCCCACTTGGGAAACAGGCTTCAGAAGCCAGACCCGCACGCCTTGATAGGCTTTGGTTGGGCTGTGCCTGGGTGGCCTAGCCCATTTGACGCCTATAGAGTAGCCCTCCCAATTTCTACCCTTTACAACAAAATTACATGCTCCAATTGAGCAACCACTTTCCAACAAGCAAACTTCTATATTCTCGTGGAATATCGTGTTGAATATTGTGCCTTCAGCACACAGCTAAAGGATAATAGTTTATATTATCCAGGTGACTAAAATAGGGGAATCCCAACAGTCCTTCCCAAGAGAACTCACAAATATGCTTGATAGAACAAAAAAGTCAATAGTAAAATAATTCATAGTGCTAAGACCAACCAATCAAGAGGTATAGCCAAAAAGAAGTATGCATATCTTCTTAGCACCACGAGTTATTTTATAAACATCATTTTCAAAAGCAACTAATAAAGTTGCACATACCCATCTTGCCATGTCCAATATCCACAGTGCAGCCTGAGATGCGTCCTACTGCATAAAGTGATAATACTGCTTGGTCAGATGCGTAAAAGCCTGAGATGTTAAACCGTTCAAACATCAACTGCACCAACTGTTCTCTTGCAGCCTGTTAATAGATAAGTGAATCAACTATAAGATCAAAATAATCATCAAAACAATAAAAAATTCCATGACAAAGAAATCAATGTAATAAATTGGTTCATTGACATATCACTTGAGACTTCTGCATGCTTTCAAGTGCAATATGGATAATGAATTAACATAATCCTTCAAGATATTTCATAAGCTACAAATTTAGATACAGATCAACTCTTTTCCTTCTCAGTTTACTAGGGTACTAGTCCTTACAATGTGACATGACACAGCAAAATCTTTTTCGTTAGGGACATGAAATTCAAGATGTCAACCAGAAATAAATTTCATACAGCATGGAGAAGAAAAATCATCTCATCTAAAAGTTGTCGTTAAGAGGAAACAAATTTATTTAGTTAAATGTAGTCTTCAATATGCACGTGCAGGATAGATTCAATTTTTTTTATTTATTTATTTTTTTGGTCAAGTTTACTAGAAAGACATGAAAAAACTTCGCCAAACCTTCGGATTTGAAAGTGGATCTGCAAATAAAATTTGCCCTTCGTTTCCAATTTCCCATCCAAGACCATTATAAAGAACATGGTCTAACAAATCTTCCATGGCATCCCAGTCGCTGATAAAGCCTCGGACAACAGGATCAACAATTACCTCATGCAAGGAATCATCAGTAGAGGACTCATCTCCAGGCAGGCATTTCATCTGAGTTGGAATCATCTACAATGTCAACGAAAAAAGTTAGTTAAGATAAAAAAGAAAGAAAACCTTCAACTTAAATCATAAATGACATGCTAAACAGAAACTAATGAACTATAGCAAAAAATTTGGAATAAAAATTTGAAAAATGATGGAAATTCCTCACTAGAATCATCAACAGGCAAAATCACAGATAAACAAAGAAATAATCATTTAAATTAGCATTTTCAAAAATCTAGTCCATTTTCTGATTTAAGTATTTACTAAATGTTAAATTAGAGATTAAATAGTAATCTAATTAACACTGGAATAGTTAAGCAGCAAAGCAACGTTAGGTTAATATATCAACTATTAATTAGAAATTCAATTGAAGGCACATGGATAGATATGAGGATACTTCATTCTTCGCAATCAACTTCAATAAATCAAATGGATTTCCACTTGCTTATGTCACACAAATCTAGTAAGATAAACCTCATAGTTATGCAACACAAACAAATGCACTTTGAAATGCTCGTAAGGATGGTAGATTACTCTGTGCATAAACATTGCCCTAACTGCTACGTATTATAAGATGCATACATTGAAGTCGCTAGAAATCAATTTCATCTGTTAGTTGTGTTATAGGCGTCTTAAAGGGTTGTATTGCGTGCCTCAATTGTTGTTAACTCCACATTTCTACTCAAGGAATGTTGAACGGTTTGATATGAACTTTTGAAAGGAGGAGGTAATCTCTTCTCACATCTTCTTTCATTATATAGAAAAATAACGTGTACATATATGGAAATTAAATAAACCAAAAAGTTCTCTTGCCTAATAGACATAATCCTAATTGATTTACTTCCCTAACACTCCCCCTCAAGTTAGAGCATATATATCAAATGATCCCATCTCGGAACGAAGAAATCTCAATCGATTACTGTACAACAACTTCATAAATATATCAGCAAGCTGGTTTCCGGTCTTCACAAACGGTGTGCAAATATCACCACTTACTATCTTGTCCCGAGCAAAGTGACAGTCAACTTCAATATGCTTACAGGGTGTAATTTGGCTCGTTAGCTTGGGTGACCCATGGCTCGGCCTAGAAAAAGCCCAATCCAGCCCAGCTCATGGCTCAAAGGAATAGAGCCGAGGCTTAAGCCGAGCCCCTTTTTGGGGTTTCAGCTCAAGCTCAAGCCAACACGTGTGGCTCATCGAGCAACACAGGCATTTTTTGCCCCGTAAAAAAAATAGAATTAAAAATAATAATAATAATAACAATGAAAAAGACAACTGTTGCCTGTTAGATTGTCTAGTCTTTGAATATCCATATTCTTTATACCCATATAAGAGTGGAAGACTGCAAAGCATTATTGTCTTAGGAAGAAAATTTCCAATGCCAATGATGTGGGAGCTGGATACCGTACATGTCTGCCTTATGATTCTTAATATCTAGCTAGCAATAAGTTATTTTTTGAAATTTTAATGTACAACTTAACTAATTAATTTGTTTCTAATTTTAATCAATTACTATAAACAAAATTTTGAAGTTTAGCCATACATTTGACTTTTGAACCAGATTACGTGATAGGAACATAAAAAAAATAATATTATTATTTTTACAAGTAAATTGAATTTAGTACTATCCTTAGATGATTTTATTTTCACATATGTTGTTCGGTATATAAATCGATTTTGTAATACAAAAATTAATTGTTACTAGGTTAGTTGTGTTCTTGTAGCTTTTATTTAATGCTAAAGAATATCGATATTCAAAGACTTGAACTCTTAGCCCCGTTTGGCCCTCATTTTATGGAAATGAAAATGGGTGGAATAATGTTTTTTTTGAAAAATGAGTAATTGAAAAAGAAGAAAAATTTTTTTATTTATGTGTAATATTATTTTATGGAAGTTTGTGTAAGAGAGAAATGAAATGGAAATTAGTGAGGGTCGAATAGGGGCTTATATTCAAACTATAACTTGTATTGAATGTATAATTCGTATAAATTACACATTTTAAATTCTTTAAAAAAAATATTAGACTTGTCACGAATTAAAAAAAAATAAAAAGAACGACTCAGCTAAGGCTGGAGCTGAAAGCTCAGGTCTAACCTAAATTTTTAGCCGAGAAAAAGCTCTGGAAGGCTCGAGCCAAAAAAGTCCNGCTAAGGCTGGAGCTGAAAGCTCAGGTCTAACCTAAATTTTTAGCCGAGAAAAAGCTCTGGAAGGCTCGAGCCAAAAAAGTCCAAACTATTTTTACTCGAACCAAGCCCAAGCTTCGAGTTTCGATTCGAGAGCTGGCTGGGCTCATTGACATCCCTATATGCTCGTTCCTTTCATGAAAGACTGAATTGGATGCAATATGTAGAGCAAACTAATTATAACAAAACGTCACTATGGGAGTAGAAGGTGAGATTGATTTATTGAAAAAAGTGTTGTAACCAACTCACTAGTATGAGCCATCACCCTATATTCCGCTTCTGCACTTGACCTTGCTACAACATTTTGTCTCTTATTTTTCCAAGAGACAAGATTATCACCGAAAAATACAAAAACCAGTAGTGGATCGTCTATCTGACAGAGATCCTGCCCAATCTACATCTGTAAACCCTTCGACTTTGATATATCCATTTGGCTTATACAATAATCCTAGACCTGGAGTTTTTTCAAATACCGAATAATACGTATCACAGCTTTCCAATAAGAAACCCAATGAGCATCCAAGAATTGATTAATGACGCTAACTGCATAAGAAATATCTGGTCGTGTGAAAATAAGATAATTCAATTTTCCAATCAAACGACAATATCTTCCTGGTTCACCAAATAATTCTCCTTCATCCTTCAAAAGCTTTACATTATGATTCATGGGAATGTCATCTGGACGAGTTCCAAGAAGACCTGTCTCATTTAACATGTCAAGTACATATTTTTCTTAAAGATAAGTTGATACCTGCCTGAGACCTAACAACTTCAATACCTAAAAAATATCGAAACTTCCCTAGATCTTTATCTTTAGTCTGGAAATATTTTTATAGAAACTATTTCAAACGGACAATCTCATCTGTATCATCACCTGTGATTATAATATCATCTACATAAACTATAAGGATAATATGACCAGTCCCAATTTGTAGATAAAATACTAAATGATGTGTCTGACACCTCTGGAGACCAAATTTCAGAACAACCTCGAAAAACTTTCCAAACCACGCCCTTTATGATTGCTTTAACCCATATAAAGCCTTTTCCAACTTACAAACATAGTTCGGATACTCCCCTTAAGCAACAAACTCAGGTGGTTGCTCTATATAAACCTTCTCGTGCAGTTCATCATGAACGAATGCATTTTTAATATCTAATTAAGACAATGGCCAATCACAATTAGCGGCAATAGAAATCAAAACTCGAATAAAAGAAATCTTAGCTACTGGAGAAAACATCTCAACGTAATCTATACCAGGTGGTAAAGAAAAAAGGTCCTAAGTCTTATTCTCGTGTAAGACTGCTATTTCTAATTCCATAGCCTTTAGCCACTCAGGATCAGATAAGGTTTCTGTCACTGTCTCAAGTACAAAAACACTAAAAAGATGGGTATGAAATAGGAAAATGAAGGCGACAACGAATCAAAAGTGAAAAAGTGGCTGATAGGATGATTAGTGACATAAGTACATTTACCTTTACGGAGAGCAATAGGCAATGACTCAAAATCAGAATAGATAACAAAAGCAGGATCTGTAGACTTCAAGTTGATGGATGGGGACACAGACGATGGTGGCCTAGATCGTCAGCTGTAAGCTTGTAAAGGAGGAGGCGGATCCTTACGAGAACAGGACGACCCTAGTGTAGTAGACGAAGACAAGGTAGGTTCCGAAGAAATACCAACCGGTGGATATGGAACGAGTAAGCTTACGGGATCTCGAGTGGATTCGAGAGATATACTATGATCAGAGAAATATGGTATACTCATCGAAAATGACGTCCACACTTACAAAGTAACGTTGTAGAGAAGGATTGTAACAACGATACCCCTCTTGCGTTTGCGAAAAACCAAGGAAAATACATCTTATAGGACGAGAGTCAAGTTTGTCATGACCAGAAGCAAAGTGATGCACATAACACATCAAAAGGCCTCGAGAGGTAACGAATATGGTGGAGAGAGGAAAACAAAAGAGAGAAGGGAGATGCATCGTCCAAAACAGAAAATGGCTTGCGATTAATGAGATAGCATGCAGTAAGGGCAGTATCACTCCAAAAACATTTAGGACATGCATATGACAAAGAAGAGCACGAGCAACATCTAATAAATGACAATTTTTATGTTCTGCAACTTCATTTTGTTGTAGAGTATATGCACAAGATACTTGATAAATAATGCCTTTGGAAGATAGATAGGAAGCAAAAGAATCAGATATTTTTTAGCATTATGAAAAAGCAAAATACGGATTTTTTCGTTAAATTGAATTTTGATCATAGTACGAAAGACTTGAAAGATAGAAAGTAACTTAGAACGATTTTTCATTAGGAATCACCAAGTCATACGAGAATAATCATCCATAAATGACAAACTATTGAAAATTATTGATTGATCCCCACACATCAGAATGAACTAACTCAAATAAACTGAAAACACGACTATCAGTTCGTAAAGAAAAAAACACGATAATAGTTGCTAAACTGACAAACTTCACACTTAAGAAAGGATACATAATGAAGACTCACGACTTAATGTTTTAAAGTGGATAAAGAATGGTGATCAAGACGACGATGCCACACGTGTGTGAAATGGAAGGCTATAGAGCTCGAGGAGGAGAGACCGATAAAAGATCCAACTAATATAAACAACTAACTTCATGCCCCCATACCAATCACTCTTCATCTTAAGATCCTGAAAAACATACAAGGATAAAATGTTACAGAATACCGAAGAGATGTGATAATTTTACAAAGACAACGAACTAAGGGGAAAGCCAGGGACATTAAGGACAGCCGACAAATCAATATTAGGACTAGGATGGGCATTGCCTGAGCCTACAACAT